CCTAAATTTTAAGTTGTAATTGTTTTAATCCAAGATTAATGAGTTTGCCAGCATAGATGGGTCAATATGATTAATGAGTAGTGGAAAAACACAAGCTCATCTTTCACCATGCCCTGAATGTCCAAAGTAAGACAAATACTGTTCCTGAAGCCTGGTTTCTAGGAACAGACTGAAGGGACACAAGCCAATCTGCCACCCATAGTCCAAATCAGCAGAAGTTTCAGTTGCTACTATTTCCCAGATGTCTCTACTAGAAGACTACTGAGTCATCTTTGTTTTATTAAGTGACCAAAAACAAAAGAAAAAACCAATTTTTTTAAATGGAATTTGATATGTGAAAAAAAGGAATGGAATGTCCCCTCAGCAGAGCATTATTTATGAAAGGAAACATATTTGGTTTTGGGAAGAGCACTTGAAATGATCTAAAGTGACACACAAGCAAATGCCAGGAAGTGCATATTCACTGCTGAAAGCTGTTTTCCTGAACCTGACTGTTCATTATTTAATTCACAAAAAAGCAGGAATATTACCAATTAAAAACAGCTAATATTATTGATAGCCTCAAAAAATACAAGTCCATTTTGTGCCTGCACCCTTCTGAACACTCTGGATGAACAAGGGTGGATATTTCTCTGCTGATTTTTGCTTTAGTTGTGTCAAATTCCATAAGTCACAGAGGGGAGTTCCTCTGCTAGTCTCACACCATGATACCTCTCTGGGATATTCCCATATTCCAGTAGCACTCAGCAGACTAAAACCAGGCAAGTTAGAGCCAACAAATCAGACCTTCAGCTTTCCATCCTCTTTGCATTGCTTAAATAGCTCAGAAGAGAAGAGCCAAAGGCACTGGGGATCTTAATTAACACCTTTCCCTTTATTATTGAACCAACTGGAGGAAGGTTTAAATGTTGATAAGAGCTGAAATTTATGGCTATTGAAAAGAGATCAGAATTCAGAACCACATTTATCAAGTGACAGAGAAAACTGGTTTTAATGTCCTTTAGCAAATCTTCTCTATCAGAAACCCTTTTAGCAGGTAATCCCTGTTTCTTAAAAAAACCCATCATTTTTGAGACTCGATACTAAATACAGATAAATTATCAGGAGATAAATAAAGGGTATGAGCTGGCCCATAATCTAGTATGTAAAAAAGACATGTACAACTGAAAAAGTCATAAAAGGATATGTAACAAAGACATCCCCGTTTCTGTTGTTGATCAAAGAATGGTTCATTGTGATACAGAATACGTGTACAATGTGGCTTTAGCATTGCAGGTAGATACTACATCCCTTAAACTTAATTAATATTCCAGATGCTGACTGTTTACCCATAACAGGAAGGGAATCACAGCCAGAGACCCTTTTAATGGTGGATAGCAGAGGTGTGAACAATGCTGGAAATCAGTTTTTGTTCCACGAGAAGAATGAGATTGGCACCTCTGGGAGGCAGCTGTCCCTGAGCACTCCTTCCAGGTCCATCAGTGCTGTTTGGTGCCTGCTGTGATGGGAGGAGGGTTTTAAACTCTGGCCCCAAGGCCAAAAGAAAGCGCTTAAAGACATGCTTATCTAGAAGCATCTAAATAGGGCAAATCTAGACAGAATCCTAGTGCACAGTGCATTCATTTTAGAGATTCTTACTATAGGCTCTAAATATCTCATTTGCTTTGAGTAATTTTGTCAAAAATTAAGCAAAATAGAGCATTTATGGACTGCAGTATTTTGATGTCAGAATTGCAATTTTGAGTTTTGAGTCAGCTGAATGTTCTGCTGTTGTATCTGCTTTAGTACTTTCATCTGCTGATCTCCACATATCTTTTGCTTTAATGATTATTTAGGGGGGGGAAAATCATCCAACTACATTATTGCAGTTTCTAGGTTTGATAAGTGCCCAGGAAAATGAGGCTTTTCCCCTAATACCTGTATTTTCCCCCTAAAACCTGTATTTCCCCCTTTTTCCTTTAGAAACATGAGGGATCATGCCATGTGTGGTGTTATTGAGGGAGAGCACACACATTCTCTCTTGGGAGCTGCAGGCAAACTCTTCCATGTCTGTCACATCCTACAGGTTTATAATTTGGGCTGATGCTCATCTCCGTTTTTTCTGGGACCCACAGTGTCAGGGCTGGTGCAGGTTTTGTCCTGTTAGGCCGAGGAGGTGATGAAGATCCATGAGCTCCACACTTAGCAGGGATCAGGAAGGTTCTGTTTGCCCGAGGGCTTCATTTCCCCTCAGCTTTATGTAACTGCAGAGCAGTGGTTATCCCCTCAGTGGTTATCCCAGCTGGCAGCTCAGGGAAGGAGGAGCAGTCCCCAGGGACCCTGGGGTCTGTGCTGGGGCACAAACAGCAGCAACTGGTTCCTTGGTTGTGTTTGTCACAGAGAATTACAGACATTTCTTTGGCATTAACCCTAATTAAATGCACACACTCAGAACAAAATGCTGGTAAGGTTATTGTGTGTTTTGACTGAAGCGCTCTCTCTCAGGAGACTGCTCTTCCTTTTGCATGCACAATTGCTTTTGCAGTTTTACCTTTTCTTTACCCTGCAGAAGGTAAATAGTCACAAGTATTTGAATAGCAGGAAGCCCTCTGTTTTCTGTTAAAATGAACTAGTTTTTAAATACTGTAAATCTGTGATTTCTTAAGATGATCTGTGCAGACAACTGAAGCCAAATATATTATTTATGAAGATTCATCAAGGAGACTGTAGCAGTTCACACTAGAGATTATAAATATGCAGGAAATCTGAGATTGCTGGAGTTTATGTAGGCTAAATCCTGTATATTTCAGACTGTTTTTCTGACTTTTTCTGCTCCTTTACCTCCCATTTACTCCAGGTGAGAGCTTAGCAGCCTTTCAAAGCAAGTCCTGGGACAAACAACAAATTTGACCCTGGAGGGTGTGAAAAAATAAAGCAGGAGGAAGTAGAACAACTTATGAATGATTCATGGAGACAGTGAGCTTGGAGGAAGTGGAGATGATGTCTGGGGAAATTCGATGCAAAACATGAGAGCTTCCTAGCTACCAGGGGAAATACAAGAAGTAGAAGTACAAATCTGAAAGGGAAGGAAATAATAATAAAGAGAACAGCACTAAAAACCTAGTGGAGAGCAAGTAAAAAATTTGGAAAATAAAAGCATTAAAAAACCTATAGATGTAGGTGGAGTGTGGAAGCATACAAAGAATGGATAGGATACACAACCTAATGCATACAAAGTCAAAAAGGCAAATAAAGCATTGGAGATATTTCCAGAGTTCCATTTCTAGGTGACAGATATATTCAGTGTATTTGAAAAGCAAAGTCTTCAGTGGGTAAGGGAAGAGTACAGAACATCACTTATTGCTACCTATGTACAGTTCTTCAGTTAGAAGAGGAAAAAAAGGCCGTAATTTTAATAAAATCACCAGTGGAAAAAAAGTGCAATTATCACTGATAAATGAAACAGGTGATGTAGGGGATCTGTGTGAGCACAGAGCAGATCCTGGGCTTTCACTCATAATTGAGCAAATCTCTTGTCATTTATTTGGACATGCATGCTTCATGCAGCAAAAAGGAAATGCCAGGGCAGATGGAAGCAATTGAGGGATGAATCCCATAGCCATTTAAATAATCAGAAAATACCCATGCTGGATAAAGGTCCCATCTTTCATGGGAGAGGAAGGAAGAACCAGTGAGCATGTCTGGCATATTTATAGTTTAAAATCCTTTTCTTCCTCCCTTCATAATGGAGTCAGAGCCTGAGAGCTGCTACACAGCAGCTGCTTTGTGTTTAAAGGGAAGTGGCTGTGGATTGTTCTCTTTGAAAGGCAGTGGGTAGTGTGTTTTGAGGAACAGATTGTATAGATCTGTTCTCAACTGAAAATGGTGAAAAGCTTGATATAAGTGACTAATGGGGGTAAAACTGATAGGGAAAAAAAAATTAATCCAATGGGTTTTTTCTTTTCCAAGCTGTACTGACTGATCACAGTGCTGTTCTAGTTCCCAGTTCTCAAGTTCCCTTCCTGAGTTCTGGAGTTCTGGTTCCTTGTTGCTCCTCACTGGGTGCCTACAGGTATAATTCCTTCCCAGGAGGTTTGCACCAGCTCCAGTGTGCCCAATCCTGATTCAGTGGCTGTAATGAGTTCTGTTCATACTGGAGAACTGAAGTTATCCCTCTCCAGACTTTCAAGAAGAACCACACTTAGGGACAAAGGTGTGACAACAGAAGAAAGTCAGCCTTTTTAAAAAAGAAATTTAAAGAAATAGACATGTGCACTTAGGGCAGTCCTTGGGAGGAGGCAGCTTTCAAAGCTCAGATGGTGCGTGCAGTCCAGCACATTTTCCAAATAAAAGTTTTAAACCAAAAGCAGGCTCACAGATGGTTCTAATGAGCTGGTCTTTGAGATACACTGGGACTTGAACAAAAATAGTTTAACTCCTAAAACACTAACATTTCGAGATGAGTTCCAGGCAAAACAGTTCAAGAACAATTTATCTTGCACATTTAAATTTTATATATATTTGTAGTCTCAAAAAACCCACATTTTCAGGACCTTGCACTTGCCATTATGTACTTTACAGTACAGTATCACAAGGGCAGGAGCATTTTGACACAGGGACTGATGCTTCTTTCTCCAGCACTTTTCAGACCTTACAAAGAGTTAGTTTTGAACAAATAGTTATTAAAAACATAAAGATTTGCTAGGACAATTTAATTTTTAAGGGAATACAGAATAGTACCCTACTAGAAGTGTTAATCATCATTCTAGTAATAGAAGTATCATCAAATGATATATCAAAAAGTATCCTCTGTTAATAAATCATCAAAGCTAGTAGCTTTGTGGCACAGCAAGTATTTGTTAAACGGTATTGTTTATATTATTATCTGTTACAAAAATAGGAATTGATTTCTAAACTTTTTATATTTGAAATGACAGCATTGTAACTTACAATATCTCAAAACTATGTTCTCTGTTTCACTTGAGTTTTGAGAGACTTCTTATTTCTTTATCTCCTCTTAGGTCTGCCTTATGGATGGGAAGAAGCTTATACAGCTGATGGAATCAAATATTTTATCAAGTGAGTGTTCTGGGGAAAACGGGTCAGAGTTGAAATAGAAGCACATCAAACTAAACATATTTTCAGTCCTAGAATTAATGGAAACATTTATTTCACTGTATGCTGTTTTTTCTAGAATATAGTGAAGATTAATTTATATGATAGGGTTTTTTTAATAATTATTCCTCTTAAAGACTGAAGGAAATGGTGAAAAATATAATTCACCTCCATTCCATATATATAATGATCTAGTTAATAGCTGCTGAAATTTCCACAGTACTTAATTCTTATAGGTGCCAGAAACACAGTTTTGCAGGTGCAAACACAGTTCTGCAGTCTCCTGAAAGAGAGGAAGGGCAGCAAATAAATTATTTTATCCCAAACTCTTTCAAAAGTCACGTAAATAACACTGAACTTGATGCATTAACTGGCAAAGAAAAGCAGGGTTTTTTCCTTTTTTTTTTCAAGCACAGTGCTCAGTTGTCCTTGCCTCACCCTGTGCTGCCTGGAGCGAGATGTATTAAAGCAGACATGTTTTTTTCTGCAGAGGTTTCCAAACACACTGTATATGATCCTGCATTCCTGCTCTAACCAAAGGCTGCCTTTTCTTTTCAGACGGATGTAGGTTACTACATGAGATTTATACAAAAAAAACCCCCAAAAAGTAGAAAAATAGCTTAGGAAATGAAAGTGAATTAAAAGCCAATTTCATAGCAATGGAAATAAATGCAGGAGCAACTATTAAAATGGAGCATTGTTCCCTTGGGCTCTCTGTTCATGCAGAGAGCCATGAGAGGACAGCTGGGAAGTGAAGGTGGATGCTGGACTCTTTTCTGGGTAATGCTATGGGTTCGTGTCTGTGTGACTGGAAACTGAGCTTCAAGATGGTATTATCAATAAAAGCAAATCAAATTTAGAATCAGAACAGAAGAAATGACACAAATGACACATTCTTGAAGCATTCCCCCTGGGATTTTTTTTGTTTTTTGTTTTTTTTTGTTTTTTCCTGTGTTTGTCATGGTTATGTATCTCAATGGCTCAGCAGAAAGCTGGATTTGCTGGATATGTGCAGACAGGTCTTTCTGAGCTCACTTGGATGCTGAACCATTACAGATGTGGCAAGCAGATGCTTATTAGCAACAGCAGAATCTCAGCTACTCTAGGTGGTGCAGGCCTAATTTGCAGAAAGCATCAGATGTTTGCATCTTATTTTATCCTTGTTGCAACTACAGATTGGAGCTTGGGAGTTCACATGAAAAAGCTTTTTCAGGAATTTTTGTAGATCTCACTGTTAGTGACTCTCTTCATTTGCTTCTGGTGACAGTGCCCAGGTTTTCCATTGCTGTTACCTTCTGTAACCTGTCCTAAAAAATTCTGCCTGTCAGTCTTTGTGAGGAAGAAAGGCAAGGAAAATTTATCCATTCAATGGCAGAGAAGGGTGTGAAATCACCCCTCATGACCACTGGTTAAAAACTTCTCCTGAGTGGAGTCACCACACTGAAGTAGTGTTAGAGTTCTCAATGCAGCTCATTAGAATGGAATTAACTGAGCATTTCAATAACACATCATGGTAATTAATATTATTTTTAACTGTTTCCTTGTTTTGCTTTCATCACTGTTTCCAAATGCCTTTGCAGAGTGTAAGCCAGGCTGTTTGCATGCCTGGCAATCCATACCTCTTACCACACTGTGTAATGTATATGAAATCAGCTGTCAACTGGTTGGAGCAAGGAGCACGGCTTGCACAGTCCCTTGTTTCTAACACCAAATGGTGGAGGTTTCAGGGTGAAAACCAACACTGAAAAGATCCTTTTTCTAGAAGGAACTTAGCTTGAGGGGACATTTTATCAGCTGATCCTTTCCAGTAGGATTTAATCTTAATTGTTTAAATGGGGATTATCAGAATAGTTGATACTTCACAGCCCTGGTACTAATGCTGTAACCTTCTTGTTCTCTTTGGCTGTGAATGTCAATCCTTTTATTCTACTTTAGAATCCTTTCATTCATTTTTAGCCCAGCCAAGGCTATGAGGGGCTTAAGAGTATTTCAACACTAGCCCACTTCCTGTATACAAATATACAATCAAATATTATTTTAATTAGCAGTTGCCTTCAGTTCCAACATGCTTTATTGGGCCATCAAGTAGCTGAGTCCATAAATCTATACATTATAAATCTAATGCAGTAAACACCCCAGAAAGGAATCTTAATAGCACATAAGCTTGAGACAGCTTGCTGTAAAATTTCCATAAATATCTCTGAAGGGGTGTAGCAATATGAGGTGCATGAGAAATCAGAGTTTAAAAGAAGCAAACCAGCTGGCTTGTGTTACACACTAAAGTGAAACCCACTTATGTGAATAATTGACATGAATAAAACATTTACATCGGGCTGAGCAGCTCCCTGTACCTACCAGGGAAAGCTGAATCTTGTCCATGAATCTTGACTTCAGGAAAACTTTTGAAATCACCACTTTTATCCAGCAAATCATTTCAGCTTCACTAAATTATTTTCAATCAACCAGATTGTCAGGACTAGGCAGTGCTGCAAGTGTGAGAAACCACCCTTCAGACTTCTAACACTGACCTGAGCCTGGGCTGGGCATGAAGCTCATTTTTACAGCTTTACCATGGAATAGCAAACTGGAATTGAAGCCTCTCTGAGTCAAAGCTCAGTGTGCACTAGGAAAAACGCTAGTTCAAGTGTCTTACTAAAATGAAATAAATTAACAGTTATCAAAGGACAAAAATTCCAACAGTAGATGGGGATCAGCTTCACTGCAAATGTAACTTCCCTCCTTCCAGGCAGTAAAGGTGGGATTTGGGACCAGATATGTTTGAAGATAACTTGTTTTACTTTAAAATAACAGAGAGGACAAGCACTGTTGTGTTTTTACGTAGCAATACCACCAGTCATTCACACATGGCAGCAGATTCATGCCCCATCAAGAGAAACAAGGCACTGGTGCCTGTTTCCTCACCAGTTTACATTTGGAATCTCAATCCTTTTTATACTGGCTGGATATCCCATTCCAACGTTTAGTTGTTCTCACAGTGAAGAATATTTTGTTAACCTGGACAAAATTTCCCCTGAAGCAACTTGTGCTCCTTGCTTCTTGTCTGTGCCCAACATCTTTGTGAGAAGAGAGGGCTGAACACACCCAGTTCCTTCAGCATTTCTTCATGTGCCAAGTTCTCCGACCCTCTCATCACCTTGGTCACCTCCTCTGGATCCTCCCCCATTTTTCCATTCTGTCTTGAACTTGAAGGATCAATGCATTGAAGAGACCCCACAAAATAAGGTTAAAAGGTTCATTAATTAATTTTACTATGAGGTGATTGATGAAGGCATTTTCTAAGTTACTGATTTTCTAATAGACATTTCTGTCCCAAACAGACATTTCATCTGTAAGTCCCAGAAACACAAAGGGGCCAATGAGCCCTCATAGAGTATCACCTACACCCAGATGAGTGTGGGAGCACTTAGAGTTAGCTGGGAGGCATTAGGATGGGAAAAGTTTTTTAAAGAGGGGAAAGGCCATCTTATTCACTTTTGAAGTTTTCATGTGGCTGGTTTTGCCCAGACTTAGTTCAGGTGTTAAATGAGTTTACAAAGTGTTGTAACAAAATCTCACTTTTGCTATATGCTCCAGCTCTAAAATCCTGCGGTGCAAACAGTGTCTATTCATTCTGCCACTGAACTGATTTTGTGAATTAGGAATTTCTGGGTTTGATTTTCAAACAGGAGAAGGAGTCTGTGCAGAACTGCCCTCCCAGGGAGGCACCATAATGCTAATTAATGGTTTCATCCTGATAGTCTAAAATCACACAAGAACAGCATAAACCCCCATAGCTGGGACACACTCATTTTTCCCCAGAAAACCCATTCTAGTTAATCTCTTCCATCCTCCCACTGTGTTCACCTTTAACATATGGCAGCTCTGTATCATAAGGCTGGCACCTAAAATTAGGCAGGCCCTTGCTATGCTCCCTCCTACTCCCACCCACTCCTTGCATATGTATGTGGTTTGTAAGGACCAGCTGTGAATTTTGCCCCTGTAAACACTGTTTCTCTAGCATTTTAATAGGACTAGATTTCAAATATTCTACATTAGCAGCTATTTTCCTCAAGAATGCTCATCTTAAATTTTCACAAAAGACAAGTAGAAGTTAATCAAATATTTTAAAACTTTTGGGATCTTTCCCCTTAGATGTATTAGGGCCTGTGATGTTTTCTATCTTTCAACAAAGAGGAAACAGTAATGCTTTGTTTTCCCATGAAGGCATTGTGTACTTCAGGTGCTCCATTGGAAGGTGGAGAATTTGCTCCAGGTTAAGTAGAAGCCTAAAATCAATACTTAGAAAATACAGATTAATAAAAACCACACATGATGTGTTCCAGTGGATTTTAAAATCATGCCTAAGAAATCAGGTTTCTACTTGAAAGCAGACACATTGTATTTAGATACTATAAAATTTTATTTTGTTTGGTCTTGCTTGGGGAAGAGACACCATTCACTTTACTGAAAACTGGGCATTCATAGAAACTGTTTATCATTTTAGCTGAGCTAAGAATAGCAGAGCATGTGTGATAGATGAAGAACTTCTGTAGTATAAACATTGATGGTTTGCAGCATTAAAGGTATCATCGTAAAAGGAAATAAATCACAATTGATTTTACTTACTGCATGGTAACTTGAAAATATAAATTGGTTCTTTTCCTAAATGTTCTCTGCACATTTCTACTGCTTTATAAATGAAGGATGCAAATCCCAACACACTGAGGTGTGTTCATTTCTGAATTCATTTCTGAATGCTCTGGTGTATTACAATATCCTGGTTATCTGCAGGTTATCTCTAGCAAGGGTTGTGGCTCTTGCTAGAAGAAATCATTTAAGTTCAAATCATAGCAGACCTTATGTAGAAGTAAATTTCTCTGTATTCCACGTAGTTTTCAGGCAGTTCAGAGTAGCAAACTAAGAAAACTCATGATCTGCCATACTGATTTCAGCATGGAATTGAA